ATACACTAATTGGTTATTTGTATTCGACCAATCACATTCTTTGTTACAAACTACGGACGGTTTTAGACTCATTCATGAAAATGCTATTTACGCTATGTTTACTTTTGATCAGTTGCCAGATGTACAAAGTTGGACCCAGCAAGTGTACCGAAATATAATTACATAGCTGTACATGAAGACATAACTAGGGCTAAAGGAACGCATGGAAGACAAATTGTAAATACAGGACATGATTCCTAGCGTCGTAGCCACGAAACGTCGTAAGTCGAGACCGTCGTAAACCGAAGACTCCTGAACTGAGATAGATTCTGGAAATTCTGGAATCTCTTCTCCGAGTCATCGTTCTAATTATTATTTCCCCAAACAAGTTAGACCATAAATACCGTTTGCTTGTTACGACGAGTTTGCTTAAAATTGAGCGAAGCACAACCCAATAAATATTCATTTATACGGAAATGCATATACACAGAAATAAATGCATATTAGTCTATTTGTCTGATAGATATACATTCATCTACCTATCTATCCGGTAGATACGTATGTCTAGATTGATAAATATGTATTTATATCAGTGTAAAGACGCGTGTGTATAATAAATATGTTTTGGATCGGGCAATTTTAACAAACCGGCCATTTGTCAGGCATGAAAAGTGACCAACTGTTGCCGTCTGACTATCATAATTTATTTCTTGTTGGTTTAGGCCAATATATGAATTTCTTTTTTCATTTCCATTTTCTTTCAACATGATTATCTATTTTTTTCCCTAAATATGGCGATACGTAATTAGAAAAAAATTCAGTAACTGGTTTTCGCATGTGGCCGGTTAGCAAGGTTTCCATGTTTACGAGAATCTTGTCGGTGATATAATGGGCAGTAACTTACACTGGTCACTGTATCATAGTTAAACTTTGGCTCGAAAGATACTTTACTAATGTCAAAACGGAGGGAGTGACGAGAGAATGAGAGGAAGAGAGAGAGAGGGAGAGGGAGAGAGAGGGAAGGAGGGAGGGAGGGAGGTAGAGAGTGGGAGTGAGAGGGAGAGTGAGTGTGTGTGTGTGAGAGAGAGAGAGAGAAAGAGAGAGAGACAGAGACAGAGAGCGAGAGAGCGAGAACGAGAGCGAGAGAGAGAGAAAGAGAGAGAGAGAGAATTAGAGAGAGAGAGAGAGAGAAAAGCGAAAGAGAGAGAGTCTGACCAGAGCGAGAGAGCGAGAGAGAGAGAGAGAGAGAGAGAGAGAGAGAGAGAGAGAGATAAAGACAGACAGACAAACAGACACAGAGGCAGAGAGAGAGAGAGAGACAGACAGACAGACAAACAGACACAGAGGCAGAGAGAGAGAGACAGACAGACAGACAGACAGACAGACAGAACAGACACAGAGCGAGAGAGACAGAGAGACAGACAGACAGACAGAGAGAGAGAGACAGACAGACAGACAGACAGACAGACACAGACACAGAGGCAAGAGAGAGAGAGACAGACAGACAGACAGACAGACAGACAGACACAGAGGAGAGAGAGAGAGAGAGAGAGCGCCAAGAAGCCCGAAATCCGAGCGGGGTCACCGACCTCGAGCCATGCAAGAAGGTCAGCCGAAGACTCAATTCCCCATGCAAACGCCGCGGAATTTTCCTTCCACTTAATTCCTACCTACAAGATGGCGATTCTTCTCGAACGCAATAAATCCCCAAATTTGAAGTCATCTTGAATCCAAATCTACCTTTTAGAGAGAATAAGTGAACATCGGAAAATTACTTGGACGCAAAAATTCTTACCTGCAAAAGATTCGCCTCTCTTACCCCTCCCCCTCCCTGCTCCCTCCCCTCCCCCTCCCCTCTCCCTCTCGTAAACCTTTTTCTTCTATTCTTCGCTCTCCTTTATTCTCCTTTGTGTGTCTTCTCCCTTTTGTAGCGTAGGATAGATGAATATATACCTGAAATATGTTTTTTTCCTTCTAATAATTTCACTCAAGAATTATGTGGTATATAATAAGCACTGATATATACAAATACCATACTCCGTACACTTACATGAAAATCGTAAAAATAGAAGAATTGATAATCGAAGATAAAAAAGTACAATAGATGATAATAAAATAAAAAAAGGGAAAATTATGGCTTTCAACAAAATTGACGTGTAAATAACGGTAAATCTTGATCGATTTTTGGGTATTTTTGCTCTCTCTTCTTTTATCATCTTTCCGTGCGTACAGGAAGGAATATAAGAGACAGCCTGACTTAGAGGAATTGCCAGAGTAACCACAGCTTCTAAGTCCAACCTCACAATTTGCTTGCTCATTCAGATCTGAAATGAGACAGAGAGAGAGAGATGAGGCTTGGGAAATAAAGTGTAAGATATTATCTTTCTCTCTCTCTCTCTCTCTCTCTTTCTCTCCTCTCTCTTTCTCTTTCGATCTCCTTCTCTCTTCTCTCTCTCTCTTCTCTCTCTTCTCTCTTTCTCTTCTCTCTTCTCTCTCTCTCTCTCTCTCTCTCTCTCTCTCT